TTGTTGATCTCACAAATTCTTCTCTGTTCTTTTTGAGGGTTATATTCCCCTTTCTAAATCACTCATTCTGCTCATCTAGTTATTATTTCTTTTCTTTTTTCTTTGTTTTTATGCAAGACAACCCTTGATTGACCTCACAGATTTCAAAGATCTTGTCAGCTTACAATCTCTTATTTTTTAATTTTTTTTTAATGCCTACAGCACCTGTTCTTTAGTTTTTCAATTCCTGAAATTGTCAATATCAATTGTTTCAGATCTCACTGAGTGTTTTCAGAAGTACCATCCTGAATTCTCTGTCTTTTAAGTCGCATATTTCTATGTCTGCAAGCTTATATTCTAAAAATTTTTCTTTTTCTTTCTGAGATGCCTTGCCACCTGGGTTGTTCATGGTGTTTAATGGACTATTTATCTACCTGGGCATTAATAGAAGTGTATTCTGCTTTTTTTTTTTTTCCCAGAAGGGAGATTTATTATATAAAACTCTCTCTAGCCTATTGCAAAGAAGATGTTTTCTTTTGGTTTCTAGTAGGTGGTGTCTAAGCCTCTTGGATCCTTGCTTTATATCAAAATTTAATGATTTTTTTTTCTTATAGATGTTTAACCATGCTTGCTACCCTCAATCTCAGCCCCTTTCAGTATCAGCGACAGTTTTGGTAGCTTTTGCTCAAATTCCCCTGGGGCTTCGTTGGGGGAGGGGACCTCTGGGTTTTGTGAAGGGGGCTATGGCTCAGCCTCACGTTTTGCAACTGTGGCTGGTAAAAATCAAGTAGTGTTTCTCTGCCTTCCCACTTCTCTGCTTTCTGCTCTGTGACTGGGCACTGCAACCAGAAGCGTGGAGCTCACAGCTTTCCCAGGCAGGGCTGTTCAGAGAACTCGCCTCATATTCTCCCTACCTTTCTCTTAAAGGGAGCTCTGACTGTAAGAGATAGCTTCTTTGTTTCTCCCAGTTCACTGCCCGATACCCAGGGTTCTGACCTGTGGTAGCTCTTATGCACAGATCCCATGCTCAGACATGCTAGTGTGCAGTTTGGGTGTTTTTTTGTTGTTGAGTTTTAAATGTTCAGCTTATTGTTGTTTCAAGGGGAGAAATCTGGGAACATCTCTCACTCTGCCATGTTTCTGACTTCACTCTCTCTCATCATAAATTCTATTCTCGTATGATACCATAGGCTGAGGAGCCAGTCCTTTCATGTCCACAGGGAAGAACTCCTAAGCAATTATATTTGAGTTCCCAGCTTCTCCAGTGAGGCCTCAGAAGTGTCTGAAGAGGAAGTGAGAAGTCCTACTACCTCAGGTGGTTGAAATTAGTGTCAGGTGGAATTACATTAGAGAGAAACTTCTTGATAGCAAGGTAATTGGTCGTTGGTGATAGAAGTGTGTTAGGGAATATTATCCAACCTTCATTCTATCTCCTTGTCATGACTTCTGAAATGTCATGGGGGAGGTATCTTGCAGTCTGTTCCTCTTCTTATTGAACATTTTATTGAGATAATTGCAGATCCACATGCAGGTTATAAGAACTAATACAGATTAGTTCTGTATTATAAGGTTATAAGAACTAATACATTTTTCCCCAATGGCAGCATAGTTTGTTGCTTATAACTTTGTTAGAATGTATATCCCTAGGAAACAGTACTAGGATATTCTGGTTAAAATGTTAAAGTAGATGTAGAATGGAGCCAAACTACCAATTTCCTTTTTTCTACAAGTGGGGATGCTTGGGAGAACATGGAAAATTTATGAAGGAATGGCTATAGCCTAAGCTTAAGATTACTTTCCATTGGAAGTGATGGCCCTGACAAGGCCTGGGATATGCACAGGACAAGGCCAGGAAGGTAGAGGTGGGAAACAAAGACTAAACTTGCTCCCTAATTCACTGAGGTGCTAGAAAATGGAAAAAGAACTACCAAAACAGGTCCAAAGATTTAGCAGAATGGGAAGAGTTTTCACTGTCAAGTATGAAAAAGAAAACAAAAAGTTATTGGCTATAAAATTGTGCGTGGATGTGTCACCCCAGCGCGCTACTCAGAGACTACTAAAAACAGGGACTGGTGTTGATATTGCAAACATAGGCAAGCATAGTAGCAAGAGAACTGTGGAATTGGTACAGGATTATTGGAAAGCAGTGGCAGCAGTGGTGCTCGATAGAGATATATGGGAAGCCACTAGATACCACCCAAGTGTCTGGGGGGCCAGGCCCCGTGGAATGTGGAGGACAACTACAATTTGTGAGGCACTTCAGAGATTACCTGTTTCCCACTTCAGCGAGTGAGGAACTTAGATGAGGCTAGAGTTCCAGCAATTGAGCAGTAGGGCTGAGCTGTGGAGTAATACATTTTTCATTGTCTGGGACTCTGTTCCTTTAAGTTGTTGTGACAAAGGGAAATACCTTTTAAATTTTATTTTGATGTAAGATATTGGTAATTTGATAACACATAAAAACTATTTCTACTTCACTTAATAGAGATAAAAAATAGTTAGAGGAAATCTTCCAATCAAGGATGGAAGGATATGAGGCTAATCGTAGGAATGGCAACTCAGTACTTTGTGCACATGGGCAGTAGATAACTTGACTAAAGGTTAACTACTGGGATTCTCATTCACTTGCCTCTTCATATTTACAGAAAATGCCTTTTCTGTTTTTCACATGGACAGATCCAGTGACAGAAATAAAGCTTGCATGTAAATGCAGTGAACTTAGGAAACAACCAAATAGCAGTTGGTAAGATATATAATTCATCTACAGGGAATATAGTACCACTGTGTATCCACCTACACTAAGGTGTCAAATTATATACACATATTCCGGAAGGAGCACTATACCCACTGTACAAGTAATTTTGGTGGAACCAATCTCCAGTTTGCTAAATTTCTGGTGTTTTTGTCTTGAGTTTTGAGGACTCAGTTTCTGACAAACCTGACTCCAATAGGTGCATCTAGTAGCTTTGAATGAACTTTACTGTCATCTAGTCACATTTGAGGGTGGTTTTTTAAAAGAGAAGTTATTCTTATCAGAAATGTCGACAGTGCCTGACATATAGCAAGAACTCAAGATATGCTTTTTGAATAAAAGAATGAATGAATGAATGTTTGGAATATTTCCTGTGACTTGTGGACCTTGATACCAGATATAAGATGAAAACTAAACATGTAGATGGCTTTACACATTCAGAATTTTCCAAGCAGAAAAATGAACAAAAATATTTTTACATATGATTTCCTTTGGCAGTTGTCCTTTATCTACCTCTTGGATCTGTCAGGCTTTTGCCCTGCATTGAATATATACATTTGCCTTTCTGAGTAATCCCATGAAAAAAAACAGAGAGAAACTCTGAGTCTGAGTTATTTAGTGGCAGGATTTGCAAGACATTTCTCATATTGCTCACAAGGCTGGGTATTTTCCTGCTGCAATACCTGGGAGTGCTGCACTCCAACCTGTGAAGTATGTAAAATGGCTAATATCAAGGGAGTAGGAGGAAAGGTAACAGAAGAGAGAAGTACCAGCTCATTTATATTTATCATTTTTATTTGCAATACTTTAGGTCCAAGTTTCAAACTGCAATATTTTTACACTCAAGACACAGTCATGCACAATCCATATTTCAATTTTCTATTGCTTCAACCACAATTGAAAATAACAAAAGTCCATAAAAAGATCAAATGCTGAGGTCAGAAGGATGGAACCATACCATCAGCAGTTCCACAAAAGAAATAACTTACTTAAAAATCAGACAAACAAAAAGATCATAAATACCTTTAATCCAAAGTTACAGAAGAATTTCACTACACATGAGTTTACAGATAGCACATTTTAACAAAAGTAATGCACAGCCAAATGAGATACAATTCTGATAAACAATGAAAATGTGTAGATCCTCCATAACTTGCTTTGTCTGGATATTATGAGTATAATCCCAGTAGACATCAGTACCCTGTGATCTGGCTCCTTCTTGCTAATGTACTGAGATTTAAAACTCAACCCACTAATGGTTATAGTATTCTGTGAAAGGTCTTATCACTAATGAATATAATATATGCGGTCCATAAAGCACACCACACACAGCACACACACTGAACTTGAATTTCACACTCAGGGCTGGTTGGCACTCTGCTGTAGGCAGGGCATTGGGACCATCCACTAACTAACTTCCAGTTTGCCCTCTTTCCAGCAGCATGCTCATATAACTGGCCAATTACTGTGGGAATTGTCATCAGAAATGCTATTTTATTTCCCAACAAGTGGATTTGTCAACATTCCTTAATACTAACAGCATGTAATTACTTTTTTCTAATTTCACTCTCTGTAACCTTCAAGTGCTTAGGTCCACTCTTAGTAGTCCCAACCATTAAAATACATGGGTTCTACCATTTTGTACCATTTATGAAGTAAAGTCTATAAAACCCAGCACAGCTTCATAGGAAAGAAGAGGCTCAAGTATAGTTCTATTCTAGCAAGTGTGACAGTGTATTTCTATTCTAGTAGCAAATACTGGCTACAGCTTAATGAAAACCAGACTTTACATACAGAGTATATGGAAAATGAAAACTGGGAATGCTCAACAGAAAAGAACTTTAAAACAAAAACAAAACTGTGAAGGGATTGGAAGGCCACCACAAGTTTTATCAACATTCCCTAGTATTATTAACTTCGTTTACTTGAGTTTTTTAAAATCATCTTATATAGTGCTATTGTTTAACTGAAACATAAGAGACCCAGGCTTAAGCATGTGATATTTGCCATTACTTTAACAGGTTGAATTTGCAAAGGCAACTTATAATATCACAATGTTAGAGCTTTTGGAAAGACCTTGGAGATCATCTAGTCCAATACTTTTATTTTACAGATGAGGAAACGGCCACAAAAAGGTTAAGTGACTTGCCCAAGGTCACACAGTAAATTAGTAATAGAGCCTATATTAGATCTCCTTACTCCTGGGCTAATATTCCTTCCACTACATCTGACTGATTCTCTATAATTGCTGTTGATTTCCTCTTAGGTACTAAATCAGGTGAACATGGTACCTGCCTTACTGTTGGTATTATGGGATAGCATTTACTTGATGGCAGTTTCCAAAGTAGACTCTGATGGCACTAACCAGCTTCTTCTATAAGTTTATCTTGCAAGTTTGACTATATTACATGGCAGTAAATGCTATTTTTTGTATTATAGTATACTTGTACACAGAAGTGTGCTCATGGAGATGATATCTCAGTTCCTGCATTTGCAGATGCAGTTAGATATTGTTTAATATTAAACAGACATTACATTCTCAGTGCATGAGGAGTTGGGTTATATTCATTTCATTACTAAAGGAGTACGGGATCAGAAAAGGAGTGAAAAAATTAAAGCTAACCAACAAAAAGATTGTATCAGAAACAAACCTCTTAAGAAAAAAATACTTTCTTAGGAAAAATATTTCCATTATTTCCAAGGTCCCATTTATTTCCTTTTCAATCCACATGCAAATATGTATTCAGAATTGTGTGTTAAGTTCGCTCAAAATCCCAGGCCTAGTTAGACTGTCAATTCACAAATGCTGAAATTCAGTCCTCTAGCTCAGAGACTGGGAGAAGCTTGCAGCACTGGCCATGCCTTTATTTAACTGAATATTAACTGCTAGTAGCTCTGAAATGGACCATGAGGTTCAACTGGGGATGGCAGGGTTAAGACTCCCATAAGTATTTTTAGGCTGAGAATGGTCAATGAAAAGCCCGTGGGTTCTCTAAGTACAAGGTCTGCACTTAGTGAAATTGAGTAACATCTGAGGCCACTACCTCATTATAAAAGTCCTTACCTAAAATTTCTTTGGCGAATTAAAAGGAAATCCCTCTTTTGGTGGATAGTCTCCCTTTTCTCCTTAACAATGACAATTACTGCATACAATGTATAGTCAGGCGATACAGAAAATACATAGAGGCTACCTCAAGCCAAAACTAACAGGACTGTGACTGAATGCCAATAGACAAAGAAAGTTCTAAAAATTTGTCTTAATGTATTCATAGTTAACTTTGAATTGCAAATCATAATAACTTATTGAAGTCAATGGGACTCGCCTACTGGTCATTAAAAGAAGAATCCTACTTGAATGATATAATATCCTGTCAGAGAAGGAGATGGTGGAAGTTGGAGATTTTATCTTCTATTCCAAAATTCAACCTAAAACTGCTAAAATGATCTAGAAAGGTGATACCTGAAACAGGCATTATCAAGGGGGCTAATCAAACATCACCTATCCAATCTAAATCAACCAAAACAAATGTTGATGCTATACCAAAGCAGAGGGCAGCTAGTTTAAAAGCAGAATGATGTGTTTGGAGTTCTAACAGCGACATCTCCCTAGCTTTAACTTATAGGTAATAGTCCCCTAAGAAAGCACGTGCCATACCCGAGCATGTGCCAATCACAGCACCCAGGCAAATATAAAGCCTATAGAATAATTGTAACTAGCATATATCTGTGCCCTGCATGCTCTGGGCTCTGGCCAGAAGGCATCTGCTTCTAGCATCTTTTCTATAGTCCCCTTTCTGATGTTTACCTATTATAAAGCAATATTATAACAATATCGTAAAAAGAAAAATAAATCACATAATCCCACCACCCTAACACAACTAATTTCAATTATCTGTGTTCCCAGTCTTTGTCCATATGCACATTTATTTTTACATAGTTGTAATCCCTGTATATGTTATTTAAAAGTGATTTTCTAGATTCTCTCTGAGAATCTCTCTGAGAACTGGCAGCCTCAGTAGAAATAAACAACCCATTGAGCAAAGGAATATAATTATTTACATGATCTTTGAACTGAGAAATATCCTTTGTAGACAAACATCTCAAACTATCAAAACAGTTATACAGATGACAAGAAGCAATTTTATATTTCTTTTTCTTTTAGCAATGGAATGTGCTTCACAGGAGGAGGATAGATGTGAGGATCAGGTGATTAAACTCAGACAATGGGTGCAATTCACAAGCCTGAAAGAAATCTGAATAACACAATTAAAAAATAAATACTTGAGTTAAATCTTCTTACATGACTTGGCCATCCAGTAGCCAAAATGGAACATGGGCACACAAATATTTACAATGACACGTAGACGAGATCAGCAAGAACGAAGTCATTACCCAACGTGGTGACTGATTTGAGGAGACTGTTGTCATCCAAAAATCCTCATGGGATTATGACAACGCACTGGATCCTTGCTACAACATTAATGTTCTTTTCTTTCTTATATAAATAATCTCTACTGTGCTTCTCACCCTTCCCTGACTTTCCCACTGCCCTATTCTTATCTCAGGACATTTTGGAAACATTTGATGATGTGCCCTCATTATCTCAGGGCAGACTAGCAACTTTAAAGATCTGGATAGACTCACCTATGCCAAGATGAGCTTTTAAAAATCCAGGGAAAGGGAATATACTATTAACCACCTGGAGTCCAAGTTGTTCAAGTGTAACAAATGTGAATCTTTCAGTATCATTTTGACAGGAGAAACAGCTTCTCTTTAATACTTATTAGAAATATACATAACTCTCAACACAGGGAAGGGTCTTTAGAAACTGTTCTCATTTAAAATTTACATAGATATAAATTTGTAGGAGTAAAGCCTACTGAGATATAGTATCATAAATTCTTGGTACAATGGGATGTGATAAAGAAGTACCTGGCTCCTCAAAGTTAATGTGCTGAATTGCAAGCATAAAAGAGCAGCCATTTATCTGCCTACAGTGATCTGAAGGATCACCACTCCAAGGTCTCCCCTCACCAAAAGAAGGTCTTTATGACATATAAGGGATGCTAATTGACAACTAGGAATTCCCAACCAGATTTGGGGCTCTCTCCATTGGCAGGGCATAATTATCAATGTACTAGATTCTATTTGCATCCCAGGTATTATTTCACTGAATTATCTGGCACTATGAATAAAAAAAATTAAAAAAAAAAAACATTAATTTAAAATCTTGTGAAATAAAAATTAAGCCCCCCACCCCTTCTCTCATTAGAACAGTGTGACATTAAAAAATCTCAGGCCTAGATACCTTTTTGCAAAGTATAACGTGGTATGCTTTAAATTAATATTACCATTTGACTTTCTTTTTACATTTGTTGTTTTATCCCACTGTGGACATTTCTGTGTGTGGGGCGGGGTGGAGGGTGGGGTGGGGTGGTTCAAGCCTTTCCCAAATTTTATAGTCAAAGAAAACTGTAAGAAAATAAGAAATCTTGCTGAATGTAGATTGGTTATATTCAGATTCTTGATATACTACAAATCGAGAAGCCTTCTACAACACAAATTGTTAGTTTTTCAAAGACTTAGAGAAACAACTTTGCAGAATTTATAAAATTTGACAATACACTCAAAAGAGAAGCATGTCCTTTTCTACGCTGACACCCTCCAGATATTTTTCTACTCTCAGAAAATTCAGGAAATGCCAACTGTTGAATTTTTAATAAATAGATACATGGTGAAATAATAGACAAATTTTCATATTTCTCCAAGCCACAAAAGGAATTCAGTTGGACTTACATTTCTAGTGATAGAAGATTGAAGACACTAATTATTTTCACTGGAGAACTTCCAGATCTTTATGAACATGTTTCCAAAATTCTAAAGCCCCAAAAACCAGGTATGAACATAATATCCTGAAACAAAATTGGTGGTATATAGGGAAAATGGGAACTAGTACTTAGAACCAAATGTTGGTTGGGATATAGTTTTCACTGACCTCCGTTTCTTCCAGAGTTGAACGCTTACAATATCTTTGTTCTCCAGATATTTTTTTAAATTTTTAAAATGTTATAAATTGTCAAATAAATGATTTTTATGATAAGCAAATGTTGGTTAATGGGTCTATTTCCTCCCAACGTGCCTATTTTATAGTGCATATGTTCCACGAGCACAAGAGAGGATTAAATTAGGTATTTTTAAATCTTTGTTTACTTACTGTCCAACAAGGATTTCAGTATTGCATACTTATCTTGTTTTCCTTTTGGCTCTCAGAGAAAGTCGCATCTTTGTTTAAGTATCATTTCTCCTATAAGGATTTCCTAAGTTCAGGTCCTGGACTCACCCAACAGGAGTGCCACAGTTTTGATGTGTCCTTCTTCAAGTATCATGAAAAAGAACAAGCTGATTTATATAAACGATAAATCAATCACCTATTAAGCATCATTATGAAGATGTGACAGGATTTCACCATTTGAGTATTATTTAGATATACAGTTTTTAAAACCTTTCCTGAACACATATATTGCTCTCTGCTTTTGGAAAATGTCTTAAAAGAAACCTTTTCCAATGCAAATGCAGAAAAACAGGTACACAAACCAAGCTGCCACTATAGAAGAAGAATAAAAAATTGCAACTCTATCAGGGCATGGACTTCCACATGTTCACGTAGTACTTGCTCTGGGGTTTTTTTAATTATTATTTGTTTCTTTCTTTTTTTTTTTTTTTTGGTGTGTGTGTGTGGGTTTTTTTTTTTGCTTTCTTTTTAAAAAAATGTTTTGACTTCTTTTTGCTGGACATCTAATGACAATGAAAGTGAAAAACATCACATTGGGTAAGGAGTTTTGAAGGAGGTTCGAATGCAAGAGGGACTACTCTCTAACTTAAAAACAAATACAACACTATGAAGAGGAGGTGTGCACCTTTGAGAAACCTTTTTCTTCAAAGCGGATGCACAAAATGAGGGGATTCACTACTGGCTCTTTCGCTTCACGGTGGAAGTGACCACTTCATGGCCACTTCGACATTGCTGCCCTGTTTGGGCTGCGGTTCAGGCTTACAAATAAATTACATAATCTGAGGGAGTAGGAAAAAGGCTTATAAGAAGTTTCTATTTGTTTGAAAGCTAAAGACATCCACCCAGTTTTACTGTCTTTTCTTCCATGTTTCCTGCAGCAGAGTTTTATTTCAGTCTTACTCATGAGGGAGATGGTGTGGGATAAGGCTTGCAGTCCTAGCGGCTGCTATTCTTAATTGCTTCTTTTGCAGCGATAATCAGAGGAGTCAGGCTGGAGAGAGGCTTGGCTAATTTTAAAAATGGATGCTAAAAAAGAAAAAAAAGAGGGATTACTGGAATTCTTTCCTTCAACAAGTATATTGCTTTGCATTTTCAAGCAGGTTTTTTTTTCATTAAAATGCATTTTGAGCATCCAATTAAACACCATTTTATTAAAAACAGTGTCCACTTTTGTCCTTCAGATGTTTTTGTCTTTCACTGTCATGAAATCCTCTGAAAACTCAGTCAGGGTCTTGTAAAATCTCACTGTGTTTACAAAAGTCTGACTTTCCGATTTTCTTAAACTGCTGATTTTATCTGGAGAAGCTTTCATACTTAAAAAAATGTCTTTGTTTAACCTTGACCTTGAAACCAATGTCTTCCTAACAACTAAATCCAATAGTTGTGTCTCCATCATTTCTCTTTTGGCTCCTCTGCAGTTCTTGATACAAGTGAATATCCCTTCCTTTGAAATGTTTTCCTCTTTTGGGGCCTGTGGTATTCTACATTCTTGGTTTTCTTCTACACGCTTGCTTGCATGCTCACTGACTACCCCCTCTCCATCTTCCTCCCTGGTTTCACTTCTTCCTCTCACCTCCCACAGACCAAAACTTAGCTCTCATCATCTTCTTTTCCTAATTTAATTCCTTTAAGAGCTCGTCTCCTTTCATGGTTTCAACCTCTCATCAGCTTTATGGGAGTGACTCCCGAATCTATATTGTGTGACCTGATCTCTTTTCTGAATTCTGGTCCTATTTCTCCAATTGCCTCCTGGATATTTTCTTTTAAATGTCCTTCTGTCACCCTGAATTCAACATTTAAAAACATATGTTAAAGCACAAGGGCTTTGAAGTCAGAGTACCTAGGTTTAATCCTCTCCTCTGCTTATTACAATGGTTAAATGAAGTAAGGTAAGTTACAGTTCATTGCAAACTACATAGAAGCAAAGACATGTTAGCCACTGTGTGATCCTCTATCACTTTTGCTTTTACTGAGTGCTACTAGTGGCTTGATATTCTGAAGTCACTGTTATCTTCCTCTCCCTTATGTTCCACATGAAATCAGCTACCAATTATTTTCTTATCAGTGCCTCTTATAACGACCTCTTGCCTTCCTTAGCTCAGGCTTAATCAACTTTAATCATGAACTATAACACTAACTCCCCATTGATCTTCCTGCCTCCATTTTCTCCTGTTGCTAACTCTTATTGCATACCACTGGATTAATCTCCCTAAACAAGCTTTCATAATGTGTTTCCCTCAGATATCTTCAGTATTTTCCTACTACCTATAGCCCTAACTCTTTAGTCTGGTGTTCAAGGCCCTCTATGGTCCTATATCCTGCAGCTTCCTTACTTGAACTCTTTACTTCAGCTACACTTTCTATTTTGTTTCCTTAAACTTTGCTTATGTATTTGGTTATAGTATAGCTCTTCCATCAGAAATTCCTTCTCCCCTTTTCTTCAATCTATCTAAAACTGATCTATCTTTCAAGGCCCAGCAGAACTCCTTCCCATTCGCAGACATTTTCTGATCACCATAGCTTATAGAATCATGGCATTTACTGTTTGAATTAGTCGCTAAACAAATTGAGTTGGCTTGAATGAGTCGCTAAACAAATTGCATTAGTTTTTTTTTTTCATGTACTCAAGGAGATTGTGAACTTCTGGAGAGGAGGGATCATGCCTTTAAGTGGTTTATATCACCCACTGCACTTAAGCCTTGCAAATAGGAGTTGCTCAATAAATATCAGTTGATGGACAGAGAACTAACTTAGGCCATACAAAAAGGTACACAAATAGTCAAGACTTGTGTCTTTCCTTGGGTCTTCCAGTGGAGCAAATGTTATGAATCTCTCTCCTTTCCAGCCTCGAGAATGGGTTAAATAGGTTAAAGTCAGAGAATGTTTATTGACTTACGGTGATATATAGGTTATTGCTAATAAATATAAAAAGAAAAGATGCAGCTATTCAATATAGTCTTCCATCAGCTATCTGGTTCAGATAAAACTACTATTGGGGAATGAACTAACTAGATAATTGATTCAATTATCTATGTAACTGTATAGCTACATTAAGAGAATATATATTTTCATTTATCCTTGGAATATGTATCAGAATATGTGTGTGAGGTAGTGAAAGGGGGTGAAAAGACATAGAAGTGAAACATTCAAACGTTTGGAGTTTTCATCTAATTTGAGACCAGATTAACTAGAGGATTAATAAAGGGCCACTCCAGATTTGAAATTTTAGGGTCTTATGATAGCCTGTAAAATGCTCACAGGTAGCAGAAAAGAGAAGGTATAGCCTCCTTAATTCCTCTAAATTGGTTTATTCCAGGTGCGATTTGATTTGCAGTGAGATATTTTTTGCTGGTGTGTGGCTAGAGGGAGTTCAGAAACAATGGGAACAGATTTATTTTGTGGCCTAAAACTGACTGAATCTGTGGTTAATAACCAAGTGTTGCACTTTTTGTTTAACTGGATTATGTGTTCAAAGTCACAGAGAGACCAAGCCTTCACTGTTTTTGGATGTTACAGGGCTTGATATATGTCCCTGAGGAACAGTCCCCAGCAGTGAACCTCTATGTGTAATCTTGGGCATGTGTTGCTTTTTCAATATAAATATAGGCATACCTTGTTTTATTGTGCTTTGTTTTATTGAGCTTCATGGATGTTGCATTTTTTACAAATTGAAGGTAAAACCTTCCACCAAAAAAGATTATGTTTCACTTTATTGCCATTGCTATACTCACTTTATTGCAGTGGTCTAGAACGAAACCCCCAATATTTCTGAGGTATGCCTATACATCTTTTGCTCTAAATTAGTTTGTGTGTTTGTGTGGTGGAAAGTCAGACAAGCCAGGGCTCAAATCTCAGTTTTGCCACTCAGCAGCTGTGTGAGCCTCAATTTCTACATTTGTAACCTCTTTTGGCTCCTCTGCAGTTCTTGATACAAGTGAATATCCCTTCCTTTGAAATGTTTTCCTCTTTTGGGGCCTGTGGTATTCTACATTCTTGGTTTTCTTCTACACGCTTGCTTGCATGCTCACTGACTACCCCCTCTCCATCTTCCTCCCTGGTTTCACTTCTTCCTCTCACCTCCCACAGACCAAAACTTAGCTCTCATCATCTTCTTTTCCTAATTTAATTCCTTTAAGAGCTCGTCTCCTTTCATGGTTTCAACCTCTCATCAGCTTTATGGGAGTGACTCCCGAATCTATATTGTGTGACCTGATCTCTTTTCTGAATTCTGGTCCTATTTCTCCAATTGCCTCCTGGATATTTTCTTTTAAATGTCCTTCTGTCACCCTGAATTCAACATTTAAAAACATATGTTAAAGCACAAGGGCTTTGAAGTCAGAGTACCTAGGTTTAATCCTCTCCTCTGCTTATTACAATGGTTAAATGAAGTAAGGTAAGTTACAGTTCATTGCAAACTACATAGAAGCAAAGACATGTTAGCCACTGTGTGATCCTCTATCACTTTTGCTTTTACTGAGTGCTACTAGTGGCTTGATATTCTGAAGTCACTGTTATCTTCCTCTCCCTTATGTTCCACATGAAATCAGCTACCAATTATTTTCTTATCAGTGCCTCTTATAACGACCTCTTGCCTTCCTTAGCTCAGGCTTAATCAACTTTAATCATGAACTATAACACTAACTCCCCATTGATCTTCCTGCCTCCATTTTCTCCTGTTGCTAACTCTTATTGCATACCACTGGATTAATCTCCCTAAACAAGCTTTCATAATGTGTTTCCCTCAGATATCTTCAGTATTTTCCTACTACCTATAGCCCTAACTCTTTAGTCTGGTGTTCAAGGCCCTCTATGGTCCTATATCCTGCAGCTTCCTTACTTGAACTCTTTACTTCAGCTACACTTTCTATTTTGTTTCCTTAAACTTTGCTTATGTATTTGGTTATAGTATAGCTCTTCCATCAGAAATTCCTTCTCCCCTTTTCTTCAATCTATCTAAAACTGATCTATCTTTCAAGGCCCAGCAGAACTCCTTCCCATTCGCAGACATTTTCTGATCACCATAGCTTATAGAATCATGGCATTTACTGTTTGAATTAGTCGCTAAACAAATTGAGTTGGCTTGAATGAGTCGCTAAACAAATTGCATTAGTTTTTTTTTTTCATGTACTCAAGGAGATTGTGAACTTCTGGAGAGGAGGGATCATGCCTTTAAGTGGTTTATATCACCCACTGCACTTAAGCCTTGCAAATAGGAGTTGCTCAATAAATATCAGTTGATGGACAGAGAACTAACTTAGGCCATACAAAAAGGTACACAAATAGTCAAGACTTGTGTCTTTCCTTGGGTCTTCCAGTGGAGCAAATGTTATGAATCTCTCTCCTTTCCAGCCTCGAGAATGGGTTAAATAGGTTAAAGTCAGAGAATGTTTATTGACTTACGGTGATATATAGGTTATTGCTAATAAATATAAAAAGAAAAGATGCAGCTATTCAATATAGTCTTCCATCAGCTATCTGGTTCAGATAAAACTACTATTGGGGAATGAACTAACTAGATAATTGATTCAATTATCTATGTAACTGTATAGCTACATTAAGAGAATATATATTTTCATTTATCCTTGGAATATGTATCAGAATATGTGTGTGAGGTAGTGAAAGGGGGTGAAAAGACATAGAAGTGAAACATTCAAACGTTTGGAGTTTTCATCTAATTTGAGACCAGATTAACTAGAGGATTAATAAAGGGCCACTCCAGATTTGAAATTTTAGGGTCTTATGATAGCCTGTAAAATGCTCACAGGTAGCAGAAAAGAGAAGGTATAGCCTCCTTAATTCCTCTAAATTGGTTTATTCCAGGTGCGATTTGATTTGCAGTGAGATATTTTTTGCTGGTGTGTGGCTAGAGGGAGTTCAGAAACAATGGGAACAGATTTATTTTGTGGCCTAAAACTGACTGAATCTGTGGTTAATAACCAAGTGTTGCACTTTTTGTTTAACTGGATTATGTGTTCAAAGTCACAGAGAGACCAAGCCTTCACTGTTTTTGGATGTTACAGGGCTTGATATATGTCCCTGAGGAACAGTCCCCAGCAGTGAACCTCTATGTGTAATCTTGGGCATGTGTTGCTTTTTCAATATAAATATAGGCATACCTTGTTTTATTGTGCTTTGTTTTATTGAGCTTCATGGATGTTGCATTTTTTACAAATTGAAGGTAAAACCTTCCACCAAAAAAGATTATGTTTCACTTTATTGCCATTGCTATACTCACTTTATTGCAGTGGTCTAGAACGAAACCCCCAATATTTCTGAGGTATGCCTATACATCTTTTGCTCTAAATTAGTTTGTGTGTTTGTGTGGTGGAAAGTCAGACAAGCCAGGGCTCAAATCTCAGTTTTGCCACTCAGCAGCTGTGTGAGCCTCAATTTCTACATTTGTAACATGAGATAATAACATCTACCCTATAGAGTTGTTGTAAGAATTAAATGAGATGTGTATAAAGAATTTGGTACAGAATAAGTACTAATTATCATCATATATATAATCCCTGAGAGCCATGAAAAGGACAAATGGTTACAGAGGCACTCACCACTGGATGGTACTCACCCAGGCAAGCAGGTGCCTGCCATTTGGCATCACAAGCAAAGGGGCTTTGATCAGTAAAGCATTAGAGTAGCAAATGCCATGGAAATAATTGCATAGTTATGTAGAGAATTACCTCCGGCCAAGAGCACCTGCATACAACATCCAGGGGCACAAGTAAAGTTTAGAAAACAGCAACACCAGAGGTTCACATTGTTTTCTTTTTTCCTTGCAAAATAAGACTCCAGGAAGAACAAAAGAGATTCATAGATTAAACTGCCAACTTCTCAGAAGAAAGGCAGCATGCCAATTAATCATGTATCAGATGCATGCCTATACTTATGTGCCTGTGGTCTAAAATCACATGGTTATAGCATAACTCTCATTATACATCTCTTGACAGAGCTCTCTTGCTGTCACACATTGAGATAGAAAAGCTCAACATAATGACTCTCTTTTTGTAATTGTCTTATTTTATTTTCACCTGCAAAAGCTCCTTGGCAGATCCTCGCCTATCCACGTCCATCTCAAGACAGCAATTTAAAAAGTCACGGAATACAGCTGACAGTCTCTCAGGATTCTGGAGCTCTGGGGTTCCATTAGTAGCTATCAGATATAATGCCTATAGACAAAAATAGAAAAATCTAATCACCACATACATATTAGGATTATGAGTTGGCGCAGAAGGCACAAATCCAGTTTCTTCTGGTTTATATCCTGGGTCTTAAAAATTCCATATTAGAGAATGACACTGACAAAAACTTCAAACTTTCTATAACATTTAAAAATTATTACTCTTGCAGCAATTCAGGTGACAGTGAGATGCCCCACCCCCAAAAAAACTTGGAAATAAGGTTATAAGGGTTTTCTCTGAGGGTTAAGCCAGTAAAACTCCATGCCAAAATACAAGTCAGTGGCAAATATAACCTTGACTAAAAGGAGATAATATGGAAAAGGAATGCATATACTGCTCTTAGGAAATCAGTAATTGGGCTAAAATCAAATAGTGCACAATCTCAGCAGATAAATTAAGTTGGAATAATATTTTTAGATTTTTGGATAATTAGCATTTGAAGCACCTGTCCTCACAAATCATCTTAGTTTTCTTATTAAAAAAATTGGTTATTGCAAATTACATTTTCTGCCTCCTCCCCAAAAACTCTTATTTCAGCTGGCCACAATTCCTCCACACTCTCGGCCCTTCATTTTATTTTCCCTGCTTTGTAGCAAAGCCTGGTCCTAAACAAACATATCTCTCTTCTCTCTTTCTACTCTGCCTCAGTCTGTTTGCATGTTATATGGTTTCATTTTCTCACTTTCCTTTCACTACTCTTAGCTCAATATACTCTACTCCATATAGTCTTGTTCCTCATAAGTACACATATATCTCTACCCAAGTCCTTCTCGCCTCTCTTCAATCCATGCCTAATTACCTTAGAAAAATGCATGTTCCTCTTTCCATTCCATTTATGAATTAAAAAATGACTTTGACCATAGTTGTAAAGACTGAATGGTGCTCGTGATAGTGCAGCTAAAGAAAAGAAAGTCCTGTCATTTGAGAGAGAATCAGAAGTAATAAGGAACCAGTGCTATGAACCTCTATAGCTCTTTAAAGAGTGCAAATGTCCCTTTCTGTATTTCTACAAAAAGATTGGTTGTGGTTTTTCTTGGGAGGTGGGACTGAAGGTGCAGGGGGAGGTCTTGGCTGGTAGCCTAACGGATGACTCCTGCCTGATTGGACAGTGCTGATCTGTTTGCACACGCTCGTCCCCAATCTAGGTATCAAATGCAAGGCTGCCTTTTACTCAATACTATAATAACTATTGTATGATGTTCTTAAAAAGTCTTCAAAAATATCATTTTAAAGACTGCATAATAGTTTATCATGTGGATGTACTATAGTTAATGTAGTTGGACTGATTAAAAAATGCATGTACTAAAAAAAAGGTGAAAGGAAACACACTAATATGTTAATAGTGGTTCTCTCTGAATGGTGGGATTATTGGTGACTTAATTTTTAAAACATATTTTTTAATTTCCTGAAATTTCTACAATAATTTGCTTAAATAATTTTTGAAACCTCCAAAAACATTATTTAAAAAATAAATTTAGAGTGACATCAGAAACATGGCAGAGTGAGAGATGTCCCCAGATCTCTCTCCTTGAAACAACAATAAGCTAAACATCTAAAGCTCAGCAAAAAACACTCAAACTGCACACCTTCATGTCTGAGCATGGGATCTGTGCATAAGAGCTACCACAGGTCAGAACCCCTGGGTGTTAGGTGGTGGACTGGGAGAAACAAAGAAGATGCCTCTTGCAGCCGGAGCTCCCCATAGGAAGAAGGGGAGGGGAGAAGGTGTGGCAAGTTCCCTGAACAGCCCTGCCTGAGAGAGCTGTGAGCTCCACACTGTTGGCGGCAGTGTCCAGTCACAGAGCAGAAAGCAGAAAAGTGGGGGCGGCAGAGAAACGATAGTTGATTTTTACCAGCCAAAGCTGCAAAACGTGAAGCTGAGCCGCAGCCCTCTTCCCAAAACCCAAAGGTCTTCTCCCACCATATCTTCCAAACTGAACACCATGAAGCCCCAGGGGAATCTGACCAAACACTACTGATACTGTTGCTAACACTGATAGGGACTGAGACCGAGGGTAGCGAGCATGTTTAAACATCTATAAGAAAAAAAAAGTCATTATTAAGGCTTTATATAAATCAGGGATCCAAGAAGCTTAGACACCACATACTGGAAACCAAAAGAAAAATGTCATTTTTGCAACAAATAAAGAGAGACCTTCATATAATAAATCTTCTTTCTGAAAAAAAAAAAAAGCAGAATATACTTCTATTAATGCCCAGGTGGAGAAATAGTCCATTAAGCACTATGAACGACCAAGGTGAAAAGGCATCTCAGAAAGAAAGAGAAAATTCTCCAGAAAATAAGCTTATAGACATAGAAATATGTGACTTAAATGACAGAAAATTCAGGATGGTACTTCTGAAAAAAATCGATGAAATCCAAAACAAATCATATCAACAATTTCAAGAACTGATAAAACAACTAGATGAGGAGAATGAGTTTTTTAGCAAGGAGACTGAAACCCTCAAAAAGAACCAAATAGAACTTCTGGAAATAAAGAACACACTGAAAGAGGAGAAATATGAAATAACAAGCTAGGTATCAAATGCAAGGCTGCCTTTTACTTGGGAAATAGAGTCAACCAAATGGAGGAAAGGATCAGTGATATCGAAGACAGACATCTAGAAATACAACAGAAAGAAGAAGAGAGAAACCAAAGAATGAAAAATAATGAAAGAGAAATACAAGAACTAGCTGAAAGCATCAGGAGAGGAAACATATGAATAATGGGCATTCTCGAAGGGGAGGAAAAGGAGCAGGGATTAGAAAGCATTTTGAGACAAACAGTTGACAAGAATTTCCAAAATCTAAGGAATGAGCTGGAGTTTGGAATTCAAGAAGTCAACAGAACACCCAATTGTATCAACCCAAAAAGGTCTTCATCGAGACATATTGTATTAAAATTATCAAAAATCAACGACAAAGACAGAACTCTCAGGGCAGCCAGGGAAAAGAAGACGGCAACCTATAAAAGAAAATCCATTAGATTATCGTCTAACTTCTCAGCACAATCTTTATAAGCCAGAAAGGAGTGGAATCAAATATTCAAACTATTAAATGAAAGGAACTGCCAGCCAACAATAATGTATCCAGCTAAGCTCTCCTTTAGATATGAAGGAGAAATAAAGACCTTTCCAGACATACAAAAATTGAGGGAATTCTCCACTACGAGGCCTGCATTGCAGGAAACACTGAAAGGGTCAGCTCTAGATATGAAGAAGAAAATAAGACTTTTCCAGACATACAAAAATCGAGAGAATTCTCCACTACGAGGCATGCACTATAGGAAATACTGAAAGGGGTCAGCTCACCTAAAACAAAATGACAAAACAAAATACATAATTAGGAGGTAAGGTGGCTATCAGGCAAATAAGAGCAGAGGAATGCATCCCTTACTAAGAATAGGGCATTATAAGCTTAAATAATAAGACGTGCATTATAATGAGATAGTAATGAACATTCAGCATACATAGGAACAAATTGAGATAACAATGACTAAAAAGGGGGGGATTCAAAGATCCAGATACGGAAAGGGGAATGGACACAAGGCGCAAGCAGAAGAAAATGCACAACTGTATGTGTGTGTATGTATGTGTGTGTGTGTGTGTGTGTATATATATATATATATAACAATCCTTTACATATTTGTAATGGTAAGCACACGCCAAAAATTCAGAACCGAAGGATATAATATAAAACAAAGACCAGAGGGAAAACCCATGAAACCCGACCAAAATAAAGAAAAGAGAAACAGAAAGACAAGGAAGCAGTGGAAACACCGAGCTACCAGAAGGCAAAAGATAAAATGGCAATAAGAGGACCTCATATCTCAGTAAGCATCCTAAATGTAAATGGACTGGATTCACCAATAAAAAGGCACAGAATTTTAGAATGGATCAAAAAACAAAACCCAACCATATGCTGCCTCCAGGAGACACATTTTAGTTCCAAAGACTAATATAGACTCAAAGTGAAAAGGTGGTAAATGTTATTTCAAGCAAATGGCATTCAGAGAAAAGCAGGAGTAACGGTACTAATATTGAACAAATGAGTCTTCAAAATCAAAAAAAGGTAAAGAAAGATACTGAGGGACACTTCATAATGATAAAGAGAATCATGAACCAAGAAGACATAACACTTAATAATATCTATGCTTCCAATCAGGGAGCCCCAAAATATATAAAGCAATTACTAACAGAAATAAAGGGAGAAACAGAGCTAAACGCTATTGTAGTAGGGGAGCTAAGTACCCCACTTTAGGATATGGACAGATCATCTAAACAGAAAATTAATATGGAAATAACATCCTTAAAAGACAAATTAGAACTGGACATAATTGACATTTACAGAGCCTTTTATCCCAAATCAGCTGCTTATACATTCTTCTTGAGTGCACATGGAACATTCTCAAGGATTGTCCACATACTAGGACACAGCTATAGCCTCAACAATTATAAGAGGGTTGAAATCATACCAACCATATTCTCTGATCATAATGCTTTGAAGCTGGAGATCGACTGTTAAAAGAAAACATGAAGAATCACAAATACATGGAGATTAAACAACATACTACTGAAGAATATTTGGGTCAGAGAAAAAATAAAAAGAGATCAAGAGATACATAGAAATGAATGATAATGATGGTACAATATATCAAAACTTTTGGGACACTGTAAAAGCAGTCATAATACAGGTCTATCTCCAAAAATAGGAATGAGCCCAAATAAACAACTTTACACTTCATCTTAAAAAAAAAAAAAAAACTAGAAAAGGAAGAACAAATGAAGCCTAAAGTCAGCAGAAGGAATGAAATAAAAAATTAGAGCAGAAATAAATGAAATTGAAAACAAAACAACAAAAACATAAATGCAACTGAGAAGGTTAATAAAATTGACAAACCCCTGGCTAGATTCACTAAAGAAAAAAGTGAAAGACCACAGAAAAACAAAATTAGAGATGAAAGAAGGGGAATTAGGACGGACTCTGC